TTTGCCTGCAACTGTTCGGAGTGGTGTGAAATCTTCTCCGGGAAATCTTGTGACAAGAATCATGTGCATGTTGCTCCTGAAAGTCTTGAGGCAACCGGTTACTACCCCACCAAGCTAGGTAGGGCTCTTTTGCGTGCTGCTAAGCGAGTCTTGAAAGTAGCCGTAGAAGGGACTGCCGTGCGGACGTGTGCCGAGGATGACGAACAGAGCACTTAGCCTAAAGAGCTGTGCTTACACTGTTGCGCTGAGGCATTACAGTCCAAGCGGGGGTGTGAAAGTTCATGTTTAAGACATGTTACTTTGGTTGTCCTGCATGCCTGCTCAGGTGTGAGTCGTTTTAGCTGAAAGTTTTGCCTTGGAGGCTTGACTGACGAGCTTGCTTTCAGTGGAAAGCCTTTTGAAGTGCTTGAGAGTGTAGGGAAGTGTTTTTCCTTGGTGTAACTACGTTTGGAGTGACTGTGTAGCTGTAGTTCTGCTTGCACTAGTTTTGAGTAGGTCCCGAGAACTCCCACTGACGTTTGAGTTTGTTTTGCAGTTGTGGAGAACACGTGGCTGAGCAGTGTTTCACTTGCAGTGCTATGGCACATGGAATATCTGTGGCCAGTTGCACAGACAAAGCCTCCGGCTGCTGACTTTGGCTCAAGCCGTGAGAAAAAGAGGGTTCAGCGCGCTGCTGCTGTGTTTTCACACAGACCCCCCGCTCCCCCAAATTCAATGTTTACATAGAAGCGCCCAATGAGCATTGCGGCACACATTGCGGCACACATTGAAATTGAGGGGCCGGGGGGGAGGTTTCTGAATATGCAAACAAGAAGACTGTGACTGACTGCTGCTGCACTCGATAAAAACTATAACTCCTTCATAAAGTCTTGTTATAGATCCTCCCCGAAGTCCTGCCTGATCTTTCCCTAAACCCTCGCATGGCCAAGGCCCCCGTAAACTTCTAGAAAGACTACCCTACAATTTTTTGCACATACCACCCCTTATGTTTTTCGTGTATGCTCCTCCAAACGCTTGCTTGCGGACCCTCCCCCAAATCCTGCCTTGCAGATCCTGCCCTAAACTCTGCAGATCCTTCCCTAAACCCCCCCTTTTGCATTCCAAACTCTGCCAGCAGATCACTCCCCAATGCCTCCTGCAGCACAAATTCCTATTCTTCGTGCGCATTTCCAGTGTTTGGTGGTCCTGCAGGCCTCCCAACCCTTAGCCCTCCAGATAATGCCGCCCAAGCCTCCACCTGGCATAGTGCCCGAATAGTGCCCGAAATAGTGCCCGAAATAGTGCCCGAATGAACCCTTCATAGTGCCCAAATACATTTCCTTTCGTAAAGGAAGGAAAATCTCCTTTTTTCTTCGCGAAAAATCATTTGGGCACATGAAGAGTTCATTTGGGCTGCTTAAATAGCTTGGCAAAGCTCAATCATACGCCGCCTGGAAGCTGGTTGCCTCGCAATGCACAGCTGCTTGAGGTAGGCAGCATCAAAGTGCACAGCAAAAAGGATGTGCCTCGTGTTTCACCCTCGCACAAGCATCAGTGGGTTCGCCTTGCGGATCCGTCCAGTAGGAAATCCACCTTCGCAAGAAGAGCAAATTCGCAAGCAACCAACATAGGTTTTAGGGGGGTGTTCGAACCCAAGGTTTGGAACTTGGAGTTCCAAACCCAGAGTTCTGGAACTCCGAACTAAGAGTTCGGAGCCTCGAACCCAGGGTTCTCTCCGAACCTTGGGTTCGAACTTTGAGGAGTTCAAGTTGAACTCAACTCCAAACTTCTTGAACTGGCGTTGAACCTGGAGTTGAGTTGAACTCTGAAAGGCGAAGAGTTTGAACCCAGGGTTTGAACAAGAGTTCCGAACCCAGAGTTCGAACTCTGGCGGTTTAAAGAGTTGAGACCCAGGTTTCGAAGTTGAACTCTGAAAGGCGAAAAGTTTGAACCCAGGGTTGAACATAGAGTTTTCGAACCAGAGTTCGAACTCTGGCGGTCCTAAAGAGTTGAGACCCAGGTTTCGAACATTGAGTTTCCGAACCCAGAGTTCGAACATGGAGTTTCCAAACCAGAGTTCGAACTCTTGTCTCATTGCTTCTTGTTCTCTCATTTTATTTCGCAAAAACCCCATTAGCGATTTCGTGTGTCTTCTTCTCTTTTGCTTGTGCTTGCGGTTGAGTTTGTGGTTTCTGTCATTGTAGTGTGCTCTCAGTAATTTTATTCGCAAAACCCCCCACAAAGCGATTCTGTGTGGGCTTCTGCTCCTTTTGTTTGGTGATTGTTGGTGTTCTGTTCGAACCCCGTTCGAACTCTGGGGGGGAGTCTAGAACCCGGGGAGTTCGAACCCCGTTCGAACTCTGGGGGGGAGTCTAGAACCCGGGGTTGGGCGGTTCATTTGTTCGCGCCTTTAGCATTCTCGTAGGAGACTTCATGTCCTTCTGAAGCCCCCTTGAGAAGAAAGACTTTTTCGTCATTGACAATCTTTTTCTTTGTTTTGTCTTTCTTTGATTTCTTCGCAAAAACACCCACAAAGCGGTTTCGTGTGGTTTTTGTTTTTTTGTGGCAGGGACTGCTGCATCACATGCGGGCACCTAACGTCTTCCGGTTTCATATTTGATTGAATGTCCACCCTTCGCTAAAACCAGCAGCTACAACGTCCTGTGCCATTTCCACGCTCGAACCGTAGCACCCTTCCGGAGTAGTATGATGCGCCACGGCAGAACACGTTTTGCCGCCGAGAACAACCTAGTCATTGGTTGTCTTTTTCTTTGTTTTCGGCAAGCTTCTAAAAACAGCGGGGGGTTGGGGGGGAGGGCGCAGCCCCCCCCCAAACGTGGAGTTCCCGAACCCAGGGTTCGAACGCCCGGGGGGGACGAATTCAACATAGAGTTCCTCAAACCCCGGGTTCCAACATAGAGTTCCCGGACCCAGGGTTCGAACTCCCTGGGGGACGGGGGGGGGTTCCGGAACCCGGGGTTCCGGTTTAGAGTTCCCCAAACCCCAGGTTCGAACATAGAGTTCCGAACCCAGGGTTCGGACTCTCTGGAAGGGGGGAGGAGTTCCCGAACCCGGGGTTCGAACGTGGAGTTCTCCAAACCCCGGGTTCGAACATAGAGTTCCCGAACCCAGGGTTCGAACATAGAGTTCCCGAACCCCGGGCAAACATAGGGTTTGAACATAGAGTTCAAACTCCAGGTTCAACCTGGGTTCGAGAAGTTCGAACCCAGGGTTCAACCCTGAGTTCCGGAGTTATATGTTCTCCCCCCCCCCCCCCCGGGCCCCCCGGGAGTTCGAACCCTGGGTTCCGGAACACTCCAAAAACCTATGCTCGCTGCACTGCATGTCTGCGGCAGACGCCTTTGCTGACAAAAACCGCATGGAGATAGGCGGCTGGTTACGCGCTGCTTCCTCTTTTGTTTGGTTTAGTGAAATTTGACGCCTCGCAGGTGCGCACAGAATGGCCCCAGCTCGTAGGCAGCTTGCAGCCTTATATTGGCTGTTTCGAAACATTGGCGCAGCTTGCACTGGCGCACTGCTCCTGGCAGCTGCTCCGGTCACGCCACGCAAGGTTCGTCTTGCCTTCGGCCAGCGACAACACCAGTGCAGAGTCCGACCTCAACAAGCTCTTCAGCACTGCCGAGCCTCTAAGCACCTTTCTTCGCCTGGCTGCGACCTGGGCGCACCTGCACCGCGTGCAGTTCACCTCGCAGGGGAAAAGAACGCCTAGGCGGATGCGCTGTCCCGTGGGCGCATTGCTTTCATTCAGCACCGCACTGCTGACCGGGTACGCATTACCTTGGCACAGCTGGCTTCAGGTTCGCACAGTGTTACGGCGCATGGGGACACGTCGCACTGGCCAAAGCGCCTGGTCGACGCTACGCACGCAATGCTTAGGTAAAGATCGGTCTGCCTGAAGACTGCCTGCGCAATCAATCTGGTCGCACTGCATTTTTTCTGGCTGCCCTCGGCCAGGTACTGCGTGGTTGTCCGCCTGAGGCAACCTTCCAGGCCCGCCCGGCTAGACTCTGGCTTCGGTTAGGTCCTGCACCTGTGTCCCTGTTTCTGTCAGGTACCGCAACGAAGTACGCCCTCGAATCGTGGAAGGACTTGCTTGGCGCCTGCCCCAGGACGCCTTGCTGCCACTGAGCCCTCGCGCGGTGGGGGCTTTCTGAGTAGACGTCGGCCAGAGGTTGCAGTGTCCGCTAAAGTGGGGGCTATACATCGTGCCTCGCACAGCACAGACCTGACTACTCGCCACGCTTGGCACGGACATTGCAACCTCCGCCGTAAAAAGAGTGAGTGCGCGTTTCTCTCTCTTTGCAGTCTCATGTGCTTTCATGAAACCTTCATAGAGAACGCTCGCTGTGCGTTTGTATTTTTAGTCAGCAGTGTTTTCTATGTGTTCTCATGATGCAACGCACCGCGCCGGTGGCTCGAATGGGAAACAACATAGGAACACTGCAGATGGGCCGCGACCCCACAAGCATATAGAAATTTTTTCACCCACCCACCACACCCGTTGGGGGCTATACATCGTGCCTCGCACAGCACAGACCTGACTACTCGCCACGCTTGGCACGGACATTGCAACCTCCGCCGTCAAAAGAGTGAGTGCGCGTTTCTCTCTCTTTGCAGTCTCATGTGCTTTCATGAAACCTTCATAGAGAACCCTTGGGCGCAACTTTATCAACCAGCTGAACGACAAGGACACCAAAGGCTTCATTCAAAAGATGTTGACCGGGGACGATTGGAGGGGCGAGTTGACACGAGCACAACGTGCCGAATCCAAGCACTACAACTTGAACGGCTGCAAAGCAATGCATGACGTCGGGATCAGGCTTGACTTTGGACGGTTTCAGGATTCACGCACAACAACACCAGACCACATTGCGCAATACATCTTCGGACTAGTTGTTGCAACTGGTGAGAAACCTCTTTTTGTCCATTTCGACGAGATCGGCGACCTTCAAGGCAATGCCAGGGATTTGCGGGAGGCGGTGCGGCAAGTTTGGAACCTCATGCTGCAGCACCAAGGTGACATGCCACGCATCTACTTCTATTTGAGCGGCAAGTCTGTCCCACTGAATGCAATTGGTGGATGTGGTTCTCCCGTTGGAACGAAATGGATTATCTTGAACTTGCTACAGGACCTGATGCCAGTGCTTAGGTGATTTGTACATGTTCAGAGCCGTCTCAATCGTAAAGTTCTTCTTGATGGGTTTTTGATAGTAACGTCAATCCCATTCTGGGGGGGGGGGCTTTTCGGAAAATCTAGCCTTGCGTATTGTCTTTCAGGAGGAGCACTACATCGTCGGCGCGGCAACTTCAGCCTCCACGAATTCGCTGCGCCGTTCATTGGCGGAGATGCAGGAGTTACCAGCGGCACTGCAACTATGGACAGGAGGCAGTCCGCGTCTCTTGGTCTACAGCTTGCGGGTGCTACACCATTTGCTCAATGAAGGCAATGAATTTATTGCAGAGCAGGCCATGGAAGCGGTCTTTCATATCCTGAAGGACCAGCCGGCAGTAGCTAGTGAGGTGTTTCTGGCTAAGAAGGACGAGGCTGAGTGGCAACAGACATGGCTGTATCTAATCTTGTTGGCACAGCTTCGCGTCCCGTGCCAGCGTGAGACGATCCTGCCAGTGGGCTCTGCCGAGCACTCTCTGGACCTCTTGCTGGGCAGGCTGAACATCTATATCAGCAAACCTGAGCAACCGATCAACGGCATGTCAGATGCCTTCTACATCTGTCACATGAAGATGATTGACCAGTTTGTGCGAAAGCGCTACGCTTCAGATTGTCGTGTGCAACTGTTTCTGGGTGATGAGGGTACAATAGTCCAAGATGAGGACCTGCTGGAGCACATGGTCGCACAACGTATTGTTGTGCAAGCTTGCCTGCACCCACAAGGGTCCCTTCCCAGCTGGGGCGACGTGATGAAACCTCTGCTGCAAGGAACCAAAGCGGAGCAACTTGAGGCAAAGCTTGATCAAGGATGTCCACTCAGCAGCTTTTCTAAGGTCACCGCCAGCGCACAGCCGCTTCAAATGGACACCTCCCCGCTCGACCAGCGACTACTGCGTCCCCAAGACCTTGCAGCGGCCATGCAGAGTTTGGATAGCGGACGGCTGTACAGACCTGGACCCAAGTCCAGCAGTGCAGACCTCGTCATCAAACACTCCAAGCTCACAATAGAGGTGCAAGACATAAGCGGAGTGTCGACTGGAGTCTCATTCGCTGATGTTTGCCAGGAAGTGGGAAAGTGCATACAGCAGGGATCGGTGCTATGGGTGCTTGTTGCACTCAAGCTGAATAAGTCGCTCAGTCACTGGGTTGGAGAGGCAAGGCCCTTGGTGCTTGAAAGCGGTACTTATCAACAGGAAAAGCTCGCGGATGGAGGGTCCGGTGGGCTGTTGTTCCGTGTCAAAAGCAAGGGGGAATGGCAAAAGCGGATTCAGCATGGAGAATGGCACGACGTCACAACAAAGATACAACCCCAAGGCAAAGGAGAAACGCTTCAAGTGCGACCAGGGTTGCAACTGGTGATCCCGCATCCGAAGCATGTTGAGGAGTTCCTCGGCGAGTCTGACTTTGAGATTGTGAAGGAATTGGCCCAGAAGTCACGTGACAGAACGGTCGACGACATACCCTTCTTGAGCCGCTTCTACAACTTCCGGCAGCCGCCTGCGCAAGGCACGTCAGAAGAGAGACTTCTGGTTGAGCAATTTGTATCAGTTTCAGAGTTAATGTGTGAGGTACTCGCTGGTTAGTTCCAAGATGCCAGCCTGTGATGTTTTGGTAGATTCCCTGAGTGCGCACACAAACACACCCGAAACTGAGGCCTGCATGTTCTGGAGAGCATTCGTGGATGTTGCATTCGTAAAGACTGCACATGTGAAGAATGGAAGACAGGTAGATACAGGCTTTCCTTACTTTACTTCTTTTGGCTTCCGTGGATTTTGATTGTGAGAAATTGTGAGAATGAGATTGCACATCACCTGCGAGGCAGTGTCGCCCCAGCGCAACCGACAGTCATTTGGGCCTGTCAACTTCGCAAGGACGACGACTTCGATGAAGCCTTCATGTTCATATGCAAGTGCTTCTGTCGACGTGTGGGGTTTCCATTATGGTCGCTTGTAACTGCCCAGTCCCAACACGTCATCTAAGATTTGCAGGGTTTGTTGCACTTCTGGTGCATGTCGCCGGGCATAGGTTGATTGGATGCAATTGGCATTGAACTGGATTGTAGCGCGTTTGCTTTGCGAGGACGGGTCTACGATTGAGGTCCCCGGCAGTGCCTTTAAAGTCACAGGGGCCATTGCAGATGCGGCGATCTCAGCTGCGCCACTTTCTGAAGGGTTCTGCAGCTGACTTCGCGAGTTTCTGAGTGCAGTTCTGTGTTATGAGTTTATGCTTGGTTCTCCACGCTTTTGGTGAGCGATGTCAGGTGGATGACCTCAAGAAGGCCCTGCGCTTGGAGCTTTCGCGCAGATTTCGCTCTTGCTGTCTGTATGTTTGCACAAAGGCGATGACAAAGATATAAGTTTTGAGCGTAGCCCATGAAACCAGGCAATCAAAGCGGAAGAGGAACTGTCCAGAATCGTTTGTTGATCGCTGCAGGCAATCGACCCTTCCCTGTCTCCACTTCAAGCGTCCAAGATCAACATTAACAGTCAGCAGGAGAGCTTTTCAGGTCAATCCCGCTCTCCCACCTAGGCCTCCCTGTTGACGGCTTGCAGGATCGGGACTGGGTGAAAGAAGACGAAGACAATGAAGTCAATCGCGGAACATCCAAGCCCAGCCCGTGGTTTCGATGATTCTTCAGCTTAGGGGTTTTGCCGTCGCCCTGCTCGCAGGTCAGATTGCTACGGGTTCGTGCTGCCATCAGCGGACGATGCTTGAGTTGCGTGCGTGTGCCTCAGCAGCGCCGTAGTTTGAGCGCTGCAAACTTGCATCCTTCCGTATTGTGCGAGCTTCTCGGCCGAGGTAGCAACGGCAGTCACTGACGCTTTTTTGGCGCTGCGGCTTTGCTTGACTTCCAGGGTTAGCAGTCAGCAGTTCAACGGCCACATTCCGTGAGCAGGCTGAGGCATTCAAGTTTTTTAGGCAAGCGGAGCATGCAACGGGTACAGGACCAGCGACAGATGCCAGCACTGGTCAAAAAGCAGTTTCACAGAGGCGCTCTTAGTTGTGCTTCGGTGCACAGACGCCCATTTGAAGAAATCCGGGAGAAAGAGCGCTAGCATGCCAGTATTCACCTGGCAGCATGATGTGGAACACTTCAAGGCTGACAGTAGTTTTGTGCAAGTTCCAGCCCTGCCGTTCTTCAACGCTTGAGTCTCGCTTGTTAGCGATGCTTCTGGCTGATGCGTGAATGAAATCGGAGAATCCGTCTGGCCGCATGGCTCTGATCTGGAACAGTTGATCTTTGTCGTTTTTTGACAGATGTTGATGTGCAAACGCTTTTGAGAGTTGCACCTTCGACTCGGCAGCTGCGCGCCGCCGATTGAAAAGCAGGACCTCGAGACGCCCAGGCACAGCTTCGCACAACATCGAGGAGCTCTATGCCTCTATGCTCTGCCATGATCGTTCTGTATCAATAATAGGAACCGAGAATATCAACTAGTCTAATATTGCATCATGCACCTTGAACCTACAACTATGCACAATGCTGGTCCAACGGACCCCTTGTTGACGTCGACATGGAAGAGTTACTTTGAGGAGGCTGCAGCCAACAGCACGGCGGGCCTGCACTTGTTGCGCGGCCTGCTCGCAGGGGTCGCCACCTGGCAAGACACTTCGCAGCCGCGCTCCACTATGAACTTTGAGAGGCCCTTGAGCCAGCGCCGCGAGAAGTGCTATGATCATCATTCCCATTCCCTTCATGCTGTGTTGATGTCGCAAGCGCACCTGCCCAAGACAGCAGCACGACAGCAGCACATCTTCCATGCTCGGTGGCGCAGAGTCTTGTATCAACTTGGGAGCAAAATTTTGTATTAATTTGGGGGGTCAAATACCCTATCACATGGCCATACCCGGTCATACCCGTCCAAAGCTCCGAAACCCGCAGCCCAATTGAAACAATGTAATCACAAGCAACCTTCCCCTGAGCCTGTTTCCAAGCTCAGCCGCTGGTGTCACAACGACGTTGAGCCAAATGCTGCAGCAGGGCATTTGGCCTCGACTGAGCCTGTCTGTATCCACATGCATGGCCTTTAAGCCTTTTGCCACTGGCTTTAGCTGCGACTTCCGTACTCTGCAGAACTCACCCTTTCCTACGCTTGAGATGCAACGAGTGTGAGGCGGTCTATTGCGGGATGACCTTTGGATCCCTGACGGTGTTGATTTTGTTGAAGAAATGATACCGTGCGGAAAAGGCCATCTTTCCGTAGAAAATATGCAGAAGAATTGCGCGACCCCGCTGTCTTAGCCAAAGGTTTGATCAAGGTTTTGCTTGGATCTTACATGCTTGTTAAACAGTCTTGGCATCAAAGCATTGACGAACATTGCAACAAGAGTCACCCCATGTCGGATCATACGCACTATCCACTGCAGCCCTGGATTCAGCAGCGAGGGAAAATAATTTCATGGTAGCGGAGCCCGGTCCGCTCTAGGCGACCGGGTCTTCCGGTAGGAATTCGTTAGCATAGCCAGAGCCTTGGGGCCCTCCAGGTTTCACCGCATAACAGCTCTTTGCTTTCTCCTCTGCTGCAGTTCGATCTGCCAGAGTGCAGCCGTCGCTGCCTTTAGCTGGGCCGACGGACAATCCCTACTTAGCGTAAGACCCCGTGGTGGAGGGGCGGCTCCGGAGTTTCTTTTTCAATTTGGTGGTGAAGAGGAGAAGAGGTGCAGAGAGCAGAAGGCCTTCAAGGAGGAAGGTTGGAAGGAGCGGGACGCTGGCGCCGGGTTTTCACTGGGTGCTGGCTTCTTCAAAGTGGAGCAATGCAAGCAAATGGTGGTGATGGCAGTGGGCTGCCGGATGGGCAGCAACAGCAGCAAGGAGCTGTGCCGGGCCAGGCCTCGGCAGCCGGAGCTGCACAGCCGGCGCAGCCAAACCAGCAGCAGCAGGCGGAACAGTTTGTGGACAAGATCGTTCGGCAGAGGCTGGACCAGGCTTTTTCAAGCGTGTTTGGGAAGCTGATTGAGTCTTCCGAGCGCGCAGCAAAGGCGGCCGAGCAGCAAGCAGGGACGCAAAAGACAGACAACTTGATAAGGAGCCTCAAGGTGGACACCTGGAAGCCGCAAAACCGTGAGGAGGAACTTAGGACGTGGCGAGAGTAGTGGTTCGGGTTGAGCAATTACTTGGTTGCAAACGACGCCGCCTACGAGGATGACTTGAAGAACATTGACCAGGACACTGAGGTGGACCACGCCCTCCTGCCGGACGCGATGGTGCAGAGGAGCCAGGAGTTATATGGGTTGCTGTGCAGCCTCCTTAAGGGGAGGTCTCTGCTCCTTATACGTGGGCTGGAGAAGACCAAGTCCGGCTACGAGGCAGTGCGGGTGCTGAGGTCGGAAATGGAGCCGAGGGAGAAAGCCCGCTCTTTGGCCCTCCTCCGCCAACTTGCAAGCTGGAGGTTTGATGGGCCAGGCGGGCTGCATGAGAAACTCATACAGTATGAGGAGGCGCTCCGTGCCTACGAGACGGCGTCCGGCAAGGAGTTCCCGAAAAACCTTGTGCTAGCAACGGTGCTGACTGGACTCAGAGAACCTCTTCGGTCCCAGGTCCAGCTGAGAATGGGGCCATCCACGGCCTACAGCGAGCTCAGGGAATGGATCCTGCAATACGAATCGTTGAACACACCGTGGGGGACGGCAGCCCCGGGTCAGCCAAAAGGAGGTGGAGGAGGCCGCCAGTATGCCGATGGTGGCCAGCAAGCAATGGAGGTCGACCGCATTTGGGGCGGCTATGGCAACGGCAAGGGCAAGAACAAGGACGGCAAGGGCAAGAGCAAAGACGGCAAGGGAAAGAACAAAGACGGCAAGGGCAAGAACAAAGACGGCAAGGGCAAGACGAAGGACGGCAAAGGAAAAGGCGGCAAGGCGAAGGATGGAAAAGGCTATGGCTATGGTGGTGGACAGCCACGCTGGAATCAGTGGGCAAGCGCCGGCTGGAGCGATCCAGAAGGGTGCCGCATATGCGGGCAGCGCGGGCACTGGAAGTGGATGTGCCCTTTGGCAGCGAAAGGCAAGGCCGGAAGGAAAGGGGCAGAAGGGGAAGGTCCAGCAAGTGGAACAGGTTCCTTCCTCAGCTGCCTCTGTTGCCCCGTCGTCTGCCTCTACGACCCTTCCGTCTTCTGCGTCGACCTACCGTGGGACCACAGCCACGGTCAACTTGGTGGAGGCCTTTGTCTCGACTCCCCCGGGGTGCCGCGTGACCGAAGTCTTTGATATAACCGAGATCGACGAGGAAGGGGAGTTCTCTCTTGAGGGCAACGGGGTCCTTAGGATTGAGGAGCTTGACTTCTACCCGGACGAAGGCCACCTGAGCGAGCTGGAGGTTCTTGTTAAATTCTGTACATAGGAACGCCCCACACCTTTGGTGAGCCCAGGCTACGGTATATTTACTTGCAGCGCCTTTTTGACTCAAGCAGGAAAAGCGTGACCGCTCAGGGTTTTACAGTTTAACTTGGTAGCGGAGCAAGAGAGCCTGAAGATCCAGGAAACCCGTGGGAAGAAGTAAACCTTGGAAACCCGGATTGGAACCGGAGGAAGAATTCAAGGATACCTGGAAACTGGAAAAGTAGAAACCTTGTATTTGCCATGACGG